ATAAAAGATGTTACTAGAAAAAAAAAATATGTTACTTAAAAATATAAAACACAATTTTCTTACTAGGAAGTACGACCTTGGTCCTTTTTAAATATATACCATCCCATAGTAGATAATACACGCGTATCTTTTCTACAAGCCCTAAAGCAGACTCCCATAGAACCCAGCATAGACGTAGAATTTGGTGGGCCAAGAAAACACGTTGTTTACAAGTAATCTACAAGTTAGAAAGGAAATAAAGAAAAAAGAACGATCATTTAATCTATCGCCTAATGCGGATATGTTTTGTGCTAAGGAATACTCGTAAAAACAATAGGGCGAATCGGAAATCCAGGTTTTATTGACAGTAATGGTTCTATGGGAAGATACGGAATTCCATATTTACGGTGAACGAAGGGAAGTTGACTTCTAGGATTCGTCGTTCGTGCGTGAATACGACGTTTCACGTTCACGTGTGAAATGGGAGCCTTCTAAAAGGTCTCGATCGGTTTTCTTTATCTTTCAGTCCTTCTTACTCTTCTTTTTCTTCTATTTCTGTTTCTTCTTCTTCTTCTTCTCACCGGTTCATTGGCTCGTTTTCTTTCTCTTTCTTCCCCTCTTTCGCGCGTGCTCCGGTTCTCTACGACCGTCATAAATTTGTTTCGTTTATACGACCGTTTTAAAATCTTTCGCCAGTCAGGTGTACATCTTGTTAAGGGCCAGTCCACACAGGTATTCCTACGTAACACGGTATTACTCCCGTCAATATTTTATCTTACTTTTCATTTATTTTGTTGTTGTTACAATCATTAAACAGAATCTATCTGATCGATCTTTATTTACTTTTATATTTTTTATTTTTCGCAATTAAAAAATATATTTATATAGGACACGAGATAAGAATATATTTGTTTTTAAATTTGAAGGATCTGTTTAAAAGAAAATATTTATTTCGTATTCACAATTGCTAAAGCAATTTCGTCCAGGTGTTGCCGAATTTTAGGGTACCGAATATACAAATATTGTATACCCAAAATAAAGTAGACAATCGTTGAAGCATATTCTAAGGACTATAAGGCCAAGTATAGAATTCCATTACGAGGAAAATGTAAATATAATTGTAGCGTGCTGACATAACGGTAAGATAATCCGTCGAGCAGAGGCGCTGCCTCCGCAATAAATCGTAATTTATGATCCCTATATGGCCGCCGGTATCCTCGAGAAATTCAAGACCGAGACTCCTGTCTTCTTTCTACCTCTTTCTTTCTATCTTTCTTTCTTTATTTCTTTCTTTCATTCTCTTCCTTTCTTATTTTCTTTCTCTTGTTCTTCTTCTTCTGCGTTTCTCCGCCTCTTCAGACGAAAGAATCGGCAAAGGGGTTCGGTCTCGGTTCTGTAAAGATGCTTCTTCGACTATACTTTACGTTCTCTTCTTTCTCCCCCTTTTCGTCTTATTCTCCACCTCTTTCTTTCTCTTTCCCCTTTTCTCATTCAATTCTCGAAACATTTCTTTGATTTTATTTTTCTTTTCATTCGACCAACGAACGGACACACGTCTTTCCTTGTTTCTCCATTTTTTACAGTTTCTTTATTATATACAAGTTATATGCGTATGCAAGTATTGAATACATTACGCATATATATATATACACATATAATATAATAAGTACCAATAAATTAATTCTAGAGATTTACGTATCTCGGTTGTAAAGCAGTCAACGGCTGCTAATGCTCGGCTGCTAATTACATAATTATATGGCGTTACGTTACGACGACCAATTAATACGTGCGTAAGTCATCATCTCGTATCGATTCTTCGAACAAGAAGGAGAAGAAGAAGATGTTGATGATGATGATGATGATGATGATGATGATGACAAGAAAGAAATGGCGAATAAAACGAAAGAGTTAATTTATTATTATTTAGACTTTAGACACATTAATTGTAAATGCAAACGAAACAAAAGAATATACTGTGTCCTATTTTTTTTGTAAATTTCATTTTTATTTAACGTTTAAATCAAACGTTTTCTTCTTTTTCTTTTTCTGTTCTATAACTTACACATATAATATAACGATGTTTAATTATCCAATTATTTATTAGAATTTTCTCTCTTTCTCTTCCTCCCTCTCTTTCACTCTGTCTTTAAATACAAGATCAAAGCGCTACGAAGGAATGGTTTGTGTGTGTGTGTGTGTGTGTGTCAGAGTAGCACGCGTGCTCAGTGCATTCGAGGCGGCGCGAGAGAAACGCGATTATAATTTATTGTCTTGCTTCGAGGATGACGTCGGGCGCGCGCCAGGGTATCCTTCTTCACGTCGGAGAATTAGGACTGACGTTTAGATCCTCCTCAGCATCTCTTTCTGTCTCTGTCAGTCATTCTTATTTTATTTCTTTCTTTTAAACATATTTTCTCTTTTTTCTTTTCCCCTCATATTTCCAAACATTTTACTTCCTTGAACATTACTCGTTTACATTATTACACTATTATTTTATATCATTTCTCAAATTCTATATGATTTAATTAATCGATCAATTAATTATTAAACGTGTCTAATATTTTCTAAATAAAATAATTATCGAATGATTAAACCCAATGGATAATAATAATACCCTTATTTTAGAAGATTTTCTTCGATTGTTAGGATAGAAGGTAACGCGAGTTCGTAGGCGAAGGAAATAAAATGGTGGATTATCAGATGCGGGCAATTGATTTATTTTAAGGGTCCAAGTCAGGCATCAGACATCCGGTTTGTCGAATTATTCTTTAAGAGAGCCCGTAGACAAGGAGAGTGGAAGATAAAAATGGTGTCGAGGAGACCACGAAATGATGGACTCAGAGAGAGAGAAAGGAAAAGAAAAAGAAAAAGAGAGAGAGAGAGAGAGAGAGAGAGAGAGAGAGAGAGAGAGGGGGCCAATGAGGTGGAACGAGATCACATAGTTTTCTATCTATTTATCTATCTGTCTTTTTCTTTGTCGCTCTCTTTGTCGCTCTCACGCTCGTCGTCTGTCGACGACACGTTAAACGTTTATCATTGCATCGACACAAGTCACGCGGTGGACCCTACTACTGTCCACTTAAAAAACGGCGATTCAGCGTTTAGTAGGAAGTGACGTCAGCTATGGAGGCCCACCGTAAACAGCGACGGATAATATAAACCATATACGTATGTTTAAAAGTGACGCGAAATTTATCCTAATTCACAAATATTATAACTACCTTTATTGATTTTTTTGTTTGTTCTTTCTTTATTTAAAGAATGATCATCTTTCTCGATCAATTTTGGATTAAACGTTTGAAATGATTTATTTGATAGATCTATATCTATCTTACTCTGTTTTAAATCTATTCTATTTTCGAGGACCACAGTTGATCGGCGTATCCGCATCCGCGTGTCCTTTCGTCGGTAGGGCGTTTAGATTTTAAGCAGATTCGAGAGGGGACTTGGTCAACGAAGAGTACAAGTGAGTGAGAGAGAGAGAAAGAGAGAAATTGTGTGCGTCGATTATCGCGAAGATGACGAACGTGACAGCATGTGGGAGTAGCTGTCAGTCATTGTTGGTAACGTAGACGTGATACCGTCTCTCGGAGATTTTATCGGTCATCTTGAAATCCTTACCCTTCGACCTCATACGAAATCGAGAAACGTGCATATCTACTACAGAATATTTATCAATACTAATTTCTTTCTTTCTTTCTTTTCTTCTTCTTTTCATTTATTTTTGTTTTATCAGCTTCTTTTTCTCCACCTCCCTCCGTCATCATTTTATTTTATGTTGGAATATCATCGAGACGAATTTTTATTTTGGAAGGTCTCACGAAGTGCCATTCATGACACGATTGGGAAACAAAGCGAGAGCTCGTCGCACGATCGTTATGAAGGATCATTGAGACGATGAGACTGCCGGCTTCTCTCTCTCTCTCTCTCTCTCTTGGTCGTTCGTTCGTCAAGTTGGAGCTCTTATAATAACACTTTAGAGCATTCGTGGAGCGTCATTGAAAGCTCGAGGACTCGAAAGTGTCGGATTGGCTTAGATCAATGTGTGGGCTCTTACTCTCGTGTCGTTGAATACATTGCATCTAACAGCGTCCTCGTATCAGATACGATTTTAATCTTGGGAGGTCGATCATTCTTTTTCTCCCTCTCTTTTTCTTCTTTCTTTATTTTTATCAATTAAAGAAAAAAAAAGAAGCAAACAAATCTTTCGATATAATATAAAAATATGTATATTCAAGCCCTTACCTTTTTCGGATAATACACATACACACGCACATACACATTGAGAGGAATATATTAGAAAAAAAAAAAAAGAAAAAAAATAAAAAACGTGGCTGGTCGACCTTCGGTAAAATCCGTTGATTCGTAAAATGGACGCGTACGAGCAACGACGAAAGCAACGAAAAGTACGACAACGAAGAGACAGGGTCCTCTCGAATCACTTATGCCAGGAGCATTTTCGTGCTGAGCTACGTGTGCTCCGTCTTTAATCGAGATCGAAATCGGTCGGCTTCGTATGGTCCCATCAATGACCGAACTGACATATACTCCTCACGTACCAAGCGTGCGCATCTCTCTTTCTATTTATTTATTTATTTCTTTCTTTCTTTCTTTCCTTTCCTTTCCTTTCCTTTCCTTTCCTTTTTTTCCTTTCCTTTATTTCTTTATTTCTCTCTCTTTATAACCAGCCACTTTCCACAAAAATTCTTGGCACACGTTTTATAAGTCCTCGGGAGTAACATACGCGGGTCTTTTCGTAATTTTAAACGTGTACAAAATTGTTCACCAGTCATGTCATTCAATCCTCTCCTCATCCTTCTCCTCCTCTTCTTCTTCTTCTTCCAATTTCTTTTTTTTGTTTGTTTGATTTGGTTTTGGTTCGGTTTTTCCATGAAATCCTAACGTCAATCAATTAATTCGCATATCTCGTCATTTCGAAATATCACGCGTGCCAAAGTAATCATGGGAATAAAATTGTTCCCTCGACAATCATATTATTTTCTTTTTGTTCATTATTACAGAGGCCACCTTCTTCGTCGCTTTCCTATCCTGGTGCAGGTGGTAACGACGATGCACGTAGTCCTGGAAGCGGTGGTACACCTGGACCACTCAGTCAACAAGCACCTACCAGTTTGGATTCCTCGGACCCCGGTAAGTTAATTTCAATTATTTTCATTGTTCGTTGTTACTTTTTCGAATAAAATGCTTTGATTACAATTGAAATGTGTTGACTAATATTTAGGATGGCAAGAAACTTTCGACTCGAGTTTAGGATCGATGAACACCGAAAGTAGGTCTCCCTCTTATATTTTCTCCTTCCCCACCCTCTCTCTCTCTCTCTCTAAATAATCGAGAGGGAAGAGAGAGGGTGATAAAGGTGGGGGGAAAAAAAGTTGATGACTCGCGAACGCGACCCAACAACGATAATATCACGCGACGAGCGACGAGTCGATGACAATCAAGACGCGGATCTTCTGAGACCCCCACGGACCTTCTGCACGCCCTTCAAATTTTACGAACACGCGTGCGCTCCTCGACACTATCAAAAGCTAAAGGCTTATGCCGAGACTAACGAGCGGGACCGTGTCCCATTGGCGTAGATTTCGTTCATTCCAGAAAAAAAGAAAAAGAAAAAGAATGCAATCTCCTTTTCTTCGAATAAATCCAAATAATTCAATTTTCTTTTTTAGATCTCTCGTATGATTTACATGTCATTCAAATTTGATTCATCCAGATGAAAATATTGTTCAATCGAATTCCATGTAAAGTATTACAAAATATTTGAAAGTATTTAAATAGGAATAAAAATGAAGGAAGAATTTGTTATAAAATTGAGCGGAGATATATAAGTTAATTTATTTGAAATGATATATATTTGAGGAAAGAATAGTATAGTATAAGGATCGGTAGCAATGACAGATCACGCCAATGGCCATGCTCGGGTTCAGTCAGTCACCAGAGGGAATACAAGTTCACGACATCATCCCATAAAGATTCATTAAGGTCCGTCGTCTCTATATTCGCTCTGTCGTGCCAACATTATAAAGCCACGTTGCGTGCCAACTCGACGAAGCGTGCACGCACCGAACAACAAACACGTAAGCGTCCACGTATACGTATAAGAGGAGGAGACAAAACGGTTGATCAATAACAATCAAAAGCGAGAGTTACGTTAACCTTTAAAACACATACACCAAAGAAATAAAAACAGGGAGTGAGAGAGAGAGAGAGAGAACGACATATAAGTTTAATGCAACGTCGTCGAGGTTGCGTCTTTGGATTTATTGTTCTCGAACAGTTTACACGAAGCAAGAGCTAATTCGTGACGAGATACGAATCTCTGCGAGAAATCTGTCGCTGGTGCACTCGCTTCCTCCTTTTCCTATCGCCATGCATCGTCCTATTTGTTCTTTCCCTCGTATATGTCTATGAGTGTTACGTGTGTGCGCGTGCGTGTATAAATGTGCACGGTTCGAACGACGTTTTCGCGACTCGTTACACGAACGATAATCTTAATTTCAGTGCTCGTTCTCTAGGAGGAGGAGGAGGACGCTCGTTAGAAACCCTTTCGTTCTATTCGAAAATTTCTACTCGACAAGGATTTTATTATTTATTTATTTATTATTTTTCTTTTTAATGTCAAATAATTTGGACTCACTGGTAATTTCTTTTTTCGATCTTATATTTAATACAGGATATATATATTTATGTACTTATGCATGTATGTATGCACTTATGGGAAGTATAATATGTATAATCTCTTGCATAATATGAATCAGTTTCATTCGTGTATACGTGCAATTTGTTAGACGAGATCCGACACCTGCGAGTACTTATGTTTTGCGTGGTTTCACAAACGATTCGGCGATTTACTTACCGATTAGTCTACGGGATTGTGCATTCCAGAATTTTTTTGTTGTTCTTCTTTCTTTCCTTTTTTTATTTTATTTTTCCTTGTTAGTTTGGCTTCGAGCACTTTCTTGTCTTTCTCTCGGTTCGTTCGCTGTGTTAATTTAATAAACGCGCGTGTATTCACGGACGAGTGTGCAGGCGAGCTCAGTTCGTGACCAGATATCGATCTCGAACGCGAGATCATTCTTTCATTCTCTTTCTCTTTCTCTTACTCTTACTCATGGTGGTTTAGTAAGGTTTCGCTAAAGCGTTCTTTCTACCTAGAAAGTGCAACGAGGTGACACGCGCAAGATCGTGAGAAGAAAAAATTGGATACCGTTCGTTGGTTGCCCCGTGTATGAGAGAATGCGTGATCTTCTTAACGATTTTTACTTCATTTTCAAATATTACAAGGTTTTTGCAATTTATCCCTCTTATATATATATATATAAACGAATTCATATTTTCCTAAAGAGATAGAAACTTGTCGTTGATAATAAAATGTAATTGGATTTGACCACGAACACGGGCTTGTATCAGGAAATGTCCTTTTTTTCGTAAAACGTGTTTGTTAAAACACGTCCCACCGCGTTATCGAAGTTGATATAACGAAAGTAGAAATGGGGAAAAGAAAAGAAAGAAGGAAAAATAAAAGGAAGAAATAGGCACCTACTCTCGTTTATCCGGAATGAATTAATAAACGACGTCTACTACTAGCAACGTCGAATAACGCGAGGAGCTCCACCCACGTCGGTGAATAAATTTATCGTACTCTCTCTCTTTTTCTCGCAAGGAAAAGGTGGGGAAGAAGAAGGAGGAGGTGAAAGAAAAAAAAAGGAATCGAGCAAGAGGAAGATTGTGAAATAATAATAATTATTATAACGATAATATTAATAATAATAATAGTAATAATAAAAGAAAAGAAGAAGAAGGAGGGGAAGAAAATAATGTTAAAAAAACAGATCAGACTTCAGTGCAGAATAATTGGAAAACGATCTAGTATAGTTCTTTTATTTAACGTTTTAGATACAAAGATTAAAATATCATGAAGCTTTTAGTTTAATACATTTTTCTAATTACATATAATTTTATTTTCGTTCATTAAAGTATTATCTATTATATATATATATATATATATTTTTTTTGCTGTTTTGCTATTTCCTTCTCGTTTCATCTTTTTTATGTTTTCTCTTTCTCATTTTTGTCGTCTCCAATGCTCATTAACGTGCCAGTCTCTTTGCGACAAGATATCATCTCGCCCAATCCTCGTCCACTTTTTCGACTGGGTCCGAAAACATCGAGTGACAGTCCCAAAGTCGACGAACCTAATTTGTATTCCGTCATCCGTTAACATCGCCACGCTTTCAAATAATTTCGTGACTCTTTCCAACAAACAAAAATGCCGCTTAACTTTCCTTTAATTATTATTTTTTTTCTTATATTGATTTTTTTAAAAAAGAAACATTTATCAATACTGTTCTATTTATTTGTAATATTATTTTTAATATCGAGAGAATATATAACGTTTGTAAAATAATATGGTAAGTGTGTGTAGTTGTATTTATTTAACGTTATTTATCTAAGCACGTATATTTAATTTTAAAAACACGCGCAGTGCCTCGTGACACGTTCATTTTCAATTCCATTTATCCGATGACGATAGTTTCTTTTTCTACCTCATTTCATCAACTGTACAAATTACGCAATTTTTCCTCCTTACGCTAATATTACGTATTAGCTATACATAAATGCATAAATACATATTTACTTTTTATTGTTTTATCGATAAGGATCATTGGAATTATGTTTCGTAATTAAAATTCACACACATTTCCTATCATATCAGACTATACACAAATGCAAGAATATAAATTATTTTACATTGTTACAATTATATTATTTACATATTTTTTTTCTCTCTCTCTTTTTTTCTAATTAATATTTTTCTCATCTTTGATAGGGATAATCGGTATGCATTTTGTAAAAATAAATCTTTTATCCTATCAAACAAATTTTCTATTCTCTCAAACTTTACGCAAATACATAAATGCAGATTTATTTGATATTGCTTATTGATGTATTTTCTATTTCTTTTTTCTCTTTCTTTTTAATCGCTTTTTTTTATTTATGATAAGTGTCATTCGAATGAAATTTCGTAATGAAGAATTTTCGTAAACCATCATTTTCTATCATTATAGTCACGATATAAATATTCTATATTTTTCCTAGAATTATTTTTGTTATTTATCCAATAAGAGTTTATAGCGGGATACATGGGAAAGGTATGGTACGGGATATTAACATATCGTGTCGCAATCGCTCGTGGATAAACACGTTACTGTTCCTCCTTTTATAAGTTACAATAGATTCTATCGTGTCTAATAGAATCGATCGCGATATCAGCTCGAGAAAATGATGGCAGTAATAATAAATAATAGTAACAAATATTTCATCTTTTCTATTCCTGGCTTGCGTGATTATATTATTTCTTTGTTTGTTTGCATATATGCATTCATAGTTTTAACAAACATTTATTGACAATTCACACACATATATGTTTTGTTACCATCATTAATTAATATTAATTTTTTAATTAGCCATCCACGTGTTGATTTCTCTCTCTCTCTCTCTCTCTTTCTTATAAGAAATGTATAGATTTTATAAAAAGATATGCGAACATTGTAAGAAAACAAAACGGACGTCAGTAAAGTTTCTCGAGTGGACAAATATTCGCTTCTCCCACGAACCTCTCTCTCTCTCTTTTTGGTTTCTTTTTTTTTCTTCTTCTTCTTTTTTTCCACGGATAGTTCGAAGCAGATCGGCCCTCTCGATTTGCCGGGAACGTATCCTGTCAAGCGAGAGCACCGGCTGAGCACGGGGACTGTCGGGAGACCCTTCGTAACAACCTTCAACGTTGGACTTTTCGTGCGAGTGGAGATCCTTAATCGACGGTTCGTCGACACCGTCTCTTTCTTGGACAGAAAACGAGAAGAAAGAGAGGTAGAGGGAGAGGGAGAGAGAGAGAGAGAGAGAGAGAGAGAGAGAGAGAGAGTGTTAGGAGGGACCGGAGAAGATATCCTCTGGTTTCTGACAACTATCAACTCTTGCCGCCGAGGATGGAAAGAAATAAAAGGGGAAAAAAAAAAGTAGAAAAGAAAGAGAGTGAGAGGGAGGGTGGGAGGGAGGGAGGGAGTGTGTTAAAGCGTGTACGGGGACCAAAGATCACGGAGAATTCCTGGAAATCGGCATATGTGAGTAAG